TCCGGCGGTGCTTGGGGGGGGTCCGGCGGTGCTCGGCGCAGGGTGGGGCGGGCTCCGGTGCTCGGCGGGGGGTGGCGCGGGGGTGGCACTCTGGGGGGGGTCTGGCGGCGCTCGGCGGGGGGCGGTGTGGCGCTTGGCTGGGGGGCTCGGGAGGCAGCGCTCGGCTGGGGGGCTCGGGAGGCGGCGCTTTTTTTTGCTGCTTGGGGCAGCAAAAAAGCTAGAGCCGGCCCTGAATCTGTGGGACAAATGTATTGGCTACTTTTATACCAACAACAGTGACAAATCAATATTCTGGTTCAGTAATGCACACGATAATACTTCTATTCATATCATTCTTTCCTCTGTTTAGTACAGTGTTAACATATGCTGCTGTAAAACTATATCAAACTTTGGATATACTATCCCTCAAGCAGCAGGACAAATAATACTGCTGCATTTCCTTAAAGTTAATGTTAGGCTTGTAACTGACCCAAGTCATAAAACAGAATCATGCTTCTATTCCAGCCTCTCTTATTTGCTAGTGATTACTTGGGAATAATGAGAGAGATATTTTTAGGGCATACTAATGAATTTCAGACACCTGCACAATTGGATTTAGCTGCAGTGTGGGAAAAATCCCTGCCAGAGTGTGAAAGCACAAAGTGCTGACCATATCGCACAGCCAGCAGAAGCTGTATTCATTCATTATTGCCAATACAGAAGCTTTAGTGGCAGAAAATAATTGTCTTGACTATTTAAACCCATATTGCATGACAAATATTATTGCTTATGTAATAGAGATCTTAGAAACTCTCTTGTTTTATATAACTTCTTTTTAAACATTGTAAAAAAAAGAAAATGCCACAGGCATCAATCCTAGGATATAGCTAAGTATTCAATGTACTAATGTGACGGAAGCAAAGGAAGTAGCTCCTTTCGCAAAGTGTTTTTCTTGATTCATTCTACATAAAAATCATTCCTTATATTGTGTACTAACTTTATAAACATTAAAAAATACATACCCGTCTGTTTATGCACAGTCACATTTTTAGTTAAGTTAATTCTTAGAAGCATTTGGTTAAAAGAAATGACATTTTCTGTACTCAATTATTATACAATGTATGGTAGCAGGTTGCAGAGACATAAGAAGACTAAATAATTATTATGTTAAATTAGCTTAGTGCTTGGGAAAGGTATTAGATTTAACTGCCTGGGAGACTGACCTCCATTTTACCCTGCTAGAGTTAGCTCATGAAGGGATTAACAAAATGAATCCTGCAAAATAGTTCAAAGGTTAAGAAACTAGTCAGCCCCTGTAAGCACAACAAACTTTACCCATAAAGGGGTATCTCTCCACACCATGCAGAGAATCAGTTCATCCCCACATCCCAGATGTGCTGTCTTCTCAGTGGGACCCTATCCTCACTGCTGTTCACTCCCGCCTCTCAAACAAGGCCTGTTTGCCAAACTTTCTCAAACAGGAGCTCAGGTGTGCAAAATAAAATTTCAAACCCCAGACTCAATGTGAGCAGATTGAGGCACAGAGTTCACGTTACTCGACGCTTTTCAGCTATACAATACATACAGCACAGGCAATGGCACTGTGAGCATCCTCACACTCCACCATTAATATGCCTCACCCTCGACTGGGAATGGAATTAAATGCCTGGTCTTTTTGCTTAGACTACAAAGAAAGGTGCCAATTAGAGGCAACTGTGGTGGTAATCTTTGTGATGTGAAATCGTGAGTACTAGGAAGTGGTCTGAGACTGCCATTGATAGATATGTGTAAACACATACACACACCACATTTACACACACACTTCAATGTGTGTCCATTTACAAGTATTCTGTGATAGGAGCTTGTTATACCATCACCTAGCATTTATACATGTAAGAAGTTCATTTTTAAATAGTTAATTTTAAACATGTTGTTCATAGTAATAGTACTATAATTTACACAAAAGAGGAGGCTGGCAGCCTTATGAGAATGATAATGGGAGCCACTGCCTTTCACCTCTAGACTGCCTCTGAATCAAGCTTGTGTTGCTAGTGCATGAAAGCTGTCGATTTGATGGATGTGAAATAAACAGGTCTCTATCCAGTTCCAGGGGTACCAATGTCCATATCATAAAAGCATCACCACTGAAGGAACTGGCATTGGTGGTCTCAGCAGAGAGGCCAGGAATTGAAGGAGCTGGGAATCTCACACTCACCCCTATGGTTGTCTCTGCAGGATAGGATTGAGATGCACTGATAGGAAAGGCTGAGGAGAGGCAGCTTGCACCACTGCTGACCATGCTGTACTGGTTCTATGAACAGAGGACTTCACTCTCCAGGACTGTCAACTCCAGCACTTTTCATAAGAACTAAAATTCATTTAAGAAAAAAAAACCTCCCCCAAACAATAACAAAAAAAAATACATGCTTTATGGACCATTTCTATTTAAGGAATTAAAATTAGACACGGGAACATGCAAAAACACCAGATCTGAACCTCCTAAACTTTGGGCAGTTGGGATTCAGACAGGCCCATTAACAGATCAAAGGAAGTATTTTGGTCTCATGTTCCTTCAGCCCCCAAAGTGGGTAAACTGTACAGAAGATCTAAAATCTGAAGAAAAACTTACCTTCTTGTAGAGACTTCTCAGGTCTCTGTACTGCCACATGCTATTTAGGACCTGAGATGCTGCTTTCACCACTTTTGGTGAGTGCCTATTACATTAAAGAGAGAGAGAGAGAGAGAGACTGTTAAATCCCAGGCTCAATTAATGCTGATTTGTGAGTCAATTACAAAGGATTGAAACTCTCAAGTGGAGTTCTGCTATTCACCAGTTCTATAAGTATATTCTAAGAGCTTTACATTCAAGTTGTTTGGATACTAACATTTTATTGACTGACAAACACACTCTTCATGTCCATATTACTAGTGTTGGAAGAGGAACAAAACCAATACACACTTGCGCTGTACGGTGAATGAGAAGCAAGGATTCTCACTGGAAACATGAGAACAAGAGAATTCTGCAAGATGGCGAGTAACTGCTGAACTGGCTAACTGATAGGGTGGGTAGTGGGGAAGGTAGAGAGAGAGAAAGCTGCAGAGAGCAAAAATTGGACAAATTGTTTCTGGAGAGGTGGCTTGGCTGCAGCCCTGTGTGCAGTGGCATGAAGGACAAGAGTACAGGGCTTTGGTTTCTTTCTCCTGGGCTGGTAGACTTTAAGCACTTCAAGGAACAGATGAGTGAGTACTCACTGCACCAATGCCTGGTACCAGATGGTCAGAGGAAACAGAGGAACTAGCCAGGTGATGAGCACTGTTTTAAGATGGGAGGGGGTTGGGGGCAGGACGCAGAAATATAATAGATCATAAATACATAGAATAATCAGTGCTTTGTGACTAAATAAAATTCATCTGGAGCCCAAATTTGGACTTATGTTCTGAAACACTGACAACAGTAACCTATTAATGACTGCACTCTAAGCCTATATAAAAAGACATAATTAACTTCATATGTACTCCTCCTCCTTCTGGAGTCTTTCCCCAGGAGATCTGAATAATTATTTCAGAGAATTAGAGCCAAATGTTCCCTTCTGTTTAGGGAGCAGATGTCTTAAACCCAAAGAGAAGGGCCAGGGAGGATAACATAGGATAAATACGTGACTATGTAGAAAGTCCACATCACGTGACTAACCTCATCCCCTCAGCAAACATAAAACAGCAGAGCCCAAAAACAAAATTACAAGGGATTAGAGACCACATGAAGTATAGTTGGAGAACAGTCACACTTGTGCTTGGTGTTTCCCTGTGAAAAGGGCACAACTGGTGGTGAAAAAGACACAGGTGGTACTGGTGTTGGCAGCATGTATTACTCGTCTGGTTCCAGTGTAGGTAGTGATAACTGCTGCTATTCACTTTGCAACACACTTGAGAAGGGTCCCAATTGCATTGCCAGCAGAGCTGGTAAGATAATGTTAATGTTTAGTCAGTTGTTTTCCACAATATTTTCCTAGTACATTATTTGTTGAGTCTGCCCATCTCTATTATTCATCCTGCAAATAGAACTGGGTGACTAGTTCATGAGTTGATAAGAATTTGATGAACACTTTTAAGCATCGTTTTTGTTATTTACCCATCTTTAGCTGCTAGTGGGGTACTGGGAGTAGGGAATGATGAATGTGGTAACAGTGCCAGTCATGCTGTTAATACTAAGGGGAGGCCAAGAGAAGTGAGATACACTGCATTTGGCCAATCTGATCCCATGGATGCCAGTTCTGCTACACAACTGTAGAGGAGAGAGGACTAGGGCTGTGGGCTCTTTACGGACACTAGAGCAGATAGTCCTTGCACTACTGTGATTGTGTCCTACCCCTGTGCAGGAAGCATGGGATGAGAGGGAAAGGGAAGGACCTTCATGTCCTCTACTTCAGTAGTGGACCCACAAAGGAGCCAGGTGCACTCTGGCTCCATATTTGGAGGAAAACATGCTGCACACAAATTAATATTTAAGTTTTGTATTGAAATACACTAACTATGGCAAAATTTCCTCATCAGTCCAGGGTAATGCAATTTTGTGGGTTCCAGTTCTTTGAAGAGCATGTGGATGGATGGGAATATAATAGTGTAACAGATGACAAATTGAAATCTATCCATTAAAATCTCTATAAATCCTATTATAGGTAGTGTTGTTGTAGTTGTGTTGGTCCCAGGCAGGGCCGGCTCTGGCTTTTTGGCCGCCCCAAGCAAAAAAAACCCAAAAAACTGCGTGGCTGGAGCGCAGGTGCAGGGGGACCGTTGGGGGGGGGGAGGGAGTGGGTGGGAGAGAGAGAGAAGGGGGCAGCCAGGGCTATAGCAGGGGCACTATCACGCGGCCCCTCCCGCTGCGTCGCCTCCTGCCGCCTGCCGCGAGGGCTCCGCTCCGATCGGTGGGGAGGGAAGGAAGAGGACTGCCCTGCAGGGCGCTCTGGTCCTCCGCGCCACTGCCCCCTACAGGGCGGCCGGAACAGAAAAAAAAGCGGCTGTGCCGCCCTAGGATTGGGCGGAATGCCACCTTGAACAATCTGCCGCCCCAACCACCAGCTTGCTCAGCTGGTGCCTGGAGCCAGCCCTGGTCCCAGGATATTAAAGAGACAAGGTGGATGAGATATCTTTTATTGGACCAACTACTGTCTCCAGACCTGAAGAAAAGCTCTGTGTAAGTTCGAAAGCTTGTCTCTCTCACCAGCAGAAGTTGGTCCAATAAAATATATTACCTCATTTACCTTGTCTCTATAAATTCTATTGTAACAACTTTTAAGGTTAAAGAGTTTTTGACTTGCCTTCTCATGAAACAGAGTTTTTGTTCCACTGGGTTAAAGCTTTGGTGACTTCTGCTGGAAGCAGACACAGTGCATATTGATTTTTTTAATATGACAGTGATTATACTGGAAGCAACAATAAATGGTTCTTCTGAGGCTACTAACAGTTGTTCTTGTTAACATATTTCATATTTTACAATTTAACACAATGTTGCATTCTGTTAAACTGTGCAATTTCACTAATTTAAGTAACAGGTTGGCAAGATATTCTTCCTACAATTATTATTTGAAATAATGGAACCTCTATGAAAGAAATGAAAAAGATAGAAAGAATGGTATAAAACTCTCATGTTTCTGAAAGGTGAGTATAAACTCCTGTTTTAGGTGAGGAGCTGGTATCATGGGCTGATAGATTTTCTTGTTCTACAACTACAAAATCAATAAAAATAATCATATCTAGCTCTTATATAGTGCTTTTCATCAGTAGGTCTAAAAATACTTTATAAAGGAGGGCACTACATTTATTATTTGGACATTCTGAAAACACATATTAGCCAACGTGTCCTAGACTATTAGAAATACATGGCTTTCAAAAGGTAAGGTTCCCTGGATTTGCAGTTAGGGGTTATATTTGACTCACCGTATGCTGTAAGACTGACATTTTCAAGACCTTAACAGAACTGGAGACCCAAATCCCATTGAAATCAATGGGAGTTGGGTGGCTAATTCTCTTAGGCTCCTTTGCAAACTCCAGCCCCAATGTCACTAAGTAATAATGATCTCGATTGGAGTACTATACAGGTGGACAAATACACAGTTTTTGTAGATTTTCTTAAGTTTTATTAATATACAAGTATAATCTCGGAGTCAAATTCCCCACTGGTGTGAGTGGGCACATTCTACTGAAGAAAAATGGAAATGCACCCGCTTATGCCAGCAGTAAATTTGATCTAGTAACAAGAATTCATTTAGTTTGATATGTAATTTATTTATACTAAAAATTTTATATGCTTTATGACTAAGGTGAGTCAGCAGTACAAGAGCAGTTCCCACAACTGGAATCACCACAATTAGTAATGCTGCTACTCTTATTAATTCCTGACAGAGTTATAATAATGAGAGTGTACTGGGTGAGAAGTATGAAAGGAGAGAGAACAATAATAAAAGAAAAGGGAATAAGATTGAATTGTGTCAGCAATGCATTAATTGCCTAGTCCTGCACACTGCTCCAGTACCAGGTGTAGTGCGTAGATTCCTCTTTCAGGTTGAAGATTGGCTGTGAGGAGCCATGTTAGAGCCCCGAGGCTGCAGCTGCCTCTGTACTGATAACACATCCCCCTTCTGATAGAAGGATCTATGCATTAGAGTGAAATCTTCCATTTTTCAAACTGACATGGTCCCACAGCAGGCAAAGCAACGATACTTCTGGAAGTTTGATGTATATTGTTTGTAACCAAGCTATTGTAGGCAACCACTCCCAGCAAAAGGAGAGGAACCAATGATCTCTTTGTCAACAGTGTGCACTGACTCTGAAAAAAAAATGCATTCATAGCTATTGCTAATAGCGTCATAGTTAGGTGTGAGTCTTCTCCTACATGTATCGGTGCCATTTATGTAGCAGACAGAAGGCCTGATACTTCTTAACAAGCTAGGGAGTGGGGTGGGGGGGGTGAAGGAGTGGAAAGAGCTGAGGCCCCACCCCCCACTTGCCAGCCAGAGTAACTGTTGTATGGTGGGGAGTAAGCTGCAGCCTGCAAAGTGGTGAAGTTACTTACTTCCGGCATTCCCAAAGCAAGTGGGAGTAGGAGAAGAATAGGACCTTTGTGAGGCACAAATCCTTTCACAGTGTCCTCCTGGTTACTCCAATGGCACATCACCCACTACACAGGGGCCTAATGGCTCAGGCTACCACCTGATGTTGATAAAATGTTTCATGCCAGTCATTATTATAAATAATTATTATTCACTATGCGGCATGTTGCCAGTGAAAGCAGGCCAAAAAATGAGCCTTGGCAGGGACTTTGATACTGGGTTACTTGTTTCCTGTCTCCCTTCCAACATCTGACATGGTTACTAACACAAGGTGATTTATGATTAAACTTAATAATGAAGCTAACGATGTCACCAGACAAGACAAACCCATTTAGTACTAATTACACCTATTAAAGATGTTACAAAAGGTGTGAGGTGATTTGCAAAACATACTTGTCTCCTTTACTCTTGGAAATGCCAACCAGCTTCTCAATGCCTCCTGCATCCCGTAAGGCCTTGGCATTCTCCATGTTTTTAGTGATAACTTCATGCAGAGTGCAGCAAATGGCAGTAACGGTGTCATCCGACATGGCCTTGCTTGCTGAGCTGTTGCTGTTGTTACCTCCTGGAAGTCGGTGGACCAGATCCCGCATGGCATACTTGCCTTTTTGGAAAGAAAATGAAGGGAGAATGTTGAGGAAATTTAAAGGAAGAATGATGGGGGAGATCCAGGGAAAACACACAAGGCAGTGTCAGTGCCATTTTCAGAATTTCAGGTCTATAATTTGCTGTCAGTATTATCCTATCATTAGCCGTAGTTATACAAACATTTGTTTAAGCAGCATTTTGCCCATTAGGACCTCTACTAATAGTCCCTAGTAATATCAGTGAGAGCTTCAGGGTGTGAGTTATATCCTTTCTTTGTGAAAAGGAGACAGGTACAGTAAAGCTAAGTACGTGTGAAAGTGTGAATTAAAGATTTGAGAACCCAGCAGAAATTGGCCATTCCATATCTTCCTTACCCCATGATAGCAACACCATTTACGTAAGCCCAAGGCAAGCGGGCTGGGATGATGCATCTCTACTAATAAAATCATCAATGTGTAGCAGTTACTAGGGATAGTACAAAGGTAGTGAAGCCATCCAAATTGGAGTTCTTTGTGAATGAGTAGTTGATCTTCTCTGGAGCGCAGGCTTCACTATACATTAACTAGGTGTAATTATGTTATTGTACCTTATAATATGCTTTTAAAAGCTATTGTTATTCCTGTCGTTTGAGTTGTGTGACTATTAGTGATTTGGAGGAGAGGTTTCTCTGCATTGTGTTGCAGTCTGATTTCTAGCAAAGGTATATCTCCATATATTTTATCAGGGGCATTGATACCTCATGGTTTGAGCATTGGCCTGCTAAACTCAGGGTTGTGAGTTCAATCATTGCAGGGGCCATTTAGGGATCTGGGGCAAAAAGCTGTCTGGGGATTGCTCCTACTCTGAGCAGGGGATTAGACTAGATAACCTCCTGAGGTCCCTTCCAGCCCTGATATTCTATGATTATCTTACTTAACATTTATAACTTAAATTTTCTATCAAACTGAGCAGGAGGACATAGTCATTGTGATTTTCCATTATAATTTTTTTCATATTTAAATACAGACAGAAATCTTTAAAAAGTTGCTTGCACAAATGTAGTGCATGGGAAAGATACCACGCCAGAAGTCCTGGAGAAGGAAATTTTCCATGTAACTACTGGACAAGTACAGCACAGGCAGCAGAACTTCCCCACACTGCCACATCAAAGCGCCTTAGCCCTGTTCTGGAGGGATTACCAGTATGGGTGAAAGTTTATTATAGCCGCTCTTCTAAGATGAAGACAAGCTGAACAGTGAAGAGACTAGGGCCCACATCCAACTCTCAGTGAAGTCAGTGAACACATTCCCATCAACTTCAGTAGCACTGGATCAGGATCTTGGGTGAAATAATCAGCTCAACAACATCACTCACTCTCAAAATGGGAATGACACGATTGTCAGGACAAGTAACTGGAAGTAATCCATATTACTTTCTGGCCTGAAATGTAATCAGCAATCTTCTCAATCAGACATTACAAGCCCTGATAAGATGGCATATAGTAAGTGCTTATTAAAAAGCTTACTCCTGAAGTTACAACAGAACTCTTGGTGTCTGAATCTGAAAATCAAAAGAAGCAGAAGACTGGCCCTTTGAGTGTCCTTATGTCAGATTTTTCATCATAAATTGTTATTTTTTTACAATACTATCTGCAATGGCGAAAATCTATCCAATCATTTGGAACAATGCATTACTAATACAGTACACACCAAAATCCATGTACTGTCACAGTAAAATCAAAGTATACCAAATTAATTTTGTGACAATGTCAGATCCAGAAACTCCTTTACTTTTGATCAAGCAACAAAATTCCTTGTAATGGAAGCATAACACACTAAAATGTGTGCAATTGTTTTATTATCAGTGTGTTGCAATTTGGAATTTAACATTTGACTTCAAATGTTTTTGTTTCTGTGCAGCTAATATTTCATCATTGTAATCCGCATTATTCGATTTTTCAGCAATTTCATTTAAATGTCAGATGCAGTACACAAATGGGTCATATGAATGCTGTGCAATTCTTTTTCCCATACATACCTATAATAGTATCTGCCAAAGAATAGCCATATAGAATGTGGTGTGCAAATATTAATATGTAGTTCTAGCCAGTAATAAGTGTTTCATTAACAAAAACATTGACTACATTCATTTATGCCTTTTAACACAAGCCAATTAATGGTTGCATATATGTTATAGTTACTTGAATACTACAGTCATAGAATATGGTAGATCATGCTTGCCTGTCAAAGTAGATTTGCAAAAGGCTGTTTATTTATGCCATTTGTTTCAGTCTTCACTCCTCTAATACTACCATTGATCAGGATCATAGAATCACATAAATAGATGAATTAGATTAGTTAGAGGTTCTCTCTTCCTTTCCCTGTACCAACCATCCAGGACATGCCAAGGCTCCTTTTTTACCTATAGCAACTGCTCAACCTAAACTAGAGGGGGGTATTTATGCACCCCTTTCTTTCAGATCATGGATTTCAGCTCTTGTGTGGGACTGTATGTTAAAGCTGCCCTCTCTTTGGCAGCTAGTGACCGCAGTCCTTAATTCTGAGTATGAAAATATCCAGTGACTGCCCTTGAGCAAGTTTTTCTATGGAATTGGCCAGGAATACAAGGATCACTGCACCACAAGAAAGCATAAATGTATGTATATATATGTTTTGCTGGATGCCTGCATATCAGAATGGTACCATGGTTACGAGTGTAGCAGAAAAAGAATATAAATATAATAAAGGCGATACTATGACTAATAATTAATCATGAACATTCCAGATTTGAGACTGGATTCAGAACAATGTCCAGTTCACTAGTTCGTGGTTCTGGTACTTCTATTCTGCACATACAGAATCGATCAGAGAGTGGAAAATTACAGAACTGGGATGTGGGAGTGGGGAACAGTATAGAGTTATACATCAAATGTGGTGCAGCCTCTCTGTCTTCTGACTGGCTGAGAGAGTTCATTTCAGTATAATTGTGCATAATTCGGGAAATATTTAATTCAGGTTCAACTTTTGAGTTTGTGTGGATTCATATCAAAACGATACCACGGATCAAATTCAGCCCTTGAATATGTGTATGCAGTTTCCATCAGCTTCAATGGGAATTGCATGCATCTTAATGTAGAATTTGGCTCCGTTTCATTTCACTTTTTAAATAAGGCTATTTCAGTAAGCTGTATGAATAAAACAATTTTTACATGCTAGTTGGACAGGCCAAACCTGGTTTAAAATATTAAAGAATTGATTCATTTTGTAAAGTAACATTATTTTGAACCAGCAACGCACGTCGGAAGAACAGCAGTCCAGATTTCATAAAACAGAAAATTATTGAAGTCCTCATTTGAGAGGTCCTGATGTTAACAAGCAAGGCTGTTACAAGTCATACTGTAACACGTTTCCTACATTTTTATTGTTCCGAAAATTTATTAGCTATTTTAAATGAATATACGGGAGAAGAACAAATATACCTATGTATAAAAATTACTAGTGTGAATTAATCCAAATTAATTAATTTAGATCACATGAGCTGGTTGTGGAAAAACTGTAATGAAGAGGCAATAATCCATTACATGTCTCAGATACAAAATGGGTCAGGGAACAGCTCTCATCAACAATAACGAGCTTACATTTATATTGCATTTGCATCTCCATGGCTTCTAAAGTGCTTTACAAACAAAATGGTAACATTACTGCAATATTAACACTTCACAGTGTGACAAGATGGTCGATATAG